GCTCGCTCTCAGGGCCATCTCCAGATACGAGATTTGCCTAGGGCATCAGGTCCTCTCTGGACTGCTGATTGCCAGGGGGACCACCTGGGGCTTCGCTCCAAGAAGCTCTAACCCCAATCCTTCAGCAGGCAAAAGCCAGCGCAGAGGCATTTTGTCACTACACGGCAGTCACTGCTGTGGACGTGGCAGCAAAAGACTAAATTCATTTTTAAAATTACTGCCAAAGCCCCAGTGCTGCAGGTTTAACAACCCTTCTCCTCGTTAAAGTCTTTTTTCATTACTAATTTTTGACTTAAATGAGTGTTTTCCTTAACTTAAACAACATTGTAGTTAGAGTTGGAGAGATGACTCGTCAGGGAAGAGTGCTAGTTGTTCTTTTAGAGGACTGGAGTCTGGTCCAAGCACCCGTTTTCACTGGTTCAAAATCCACCTTCAGTTCTAACTCCAGGCAATCTAATGCCTTCTTCATCATGTAGGCACCTTGCACACGTGTGTACACAAACATACACATATTAATAGAAACAAAGTATGCATTTAAAAATAATTCTAAACATTCAAATTGTATAGAAATTAAGAACCCCTCTCTCACTTTACCTTTATTTGTCTCATCTCTAGAGATAGTGTAGTTCCTTAAAACAGTGTACTCTGTAACTTGTCGGTAGTTGCTCTCATGAAGTGCTCTGTGACTCTGATGCTTTTAACTGTTTGGAAGACTTTCAGGAACTTAAAGTTCCATTTAATTATTTTTAATTGTTCTCTGATAGTCCTTAGTGGATAAATAAATTGATTTATTAGTAGACTTATATTTTACTTTTTGCTGCTGGAAATAGCACCGAATAACTATCCTTTTGTTCATCTTTGTGTATATGTAGTGGTTTTTCTTGGGAATTGATTTAAGAATTGGAATTGCTGGACAGGAGAATCCAAATATAAACTTTGATGTCCCATAACAGTGCTAGTATACTTCTTTCCCAGCACCAGTGAGCTTTTCATTTTTCCTGACACTTGCTGGTAATGGTTAGAACTGGGTTGGCCTTTCTAAATTTTGCACACGTGATGGCATATTGTTTTAATCTGTACTTCTTGATTAGTAATAAGGGATAAAAGTTTTCTTATGCATGTAATCATTTTGTTTCTAGTGTGAGTCATCTGTTGTTAGTTACCTTCACTCATGTATCTATTTCGTCTTCTTTTGTATGTGTTTTTAAGGTGTTGGTTACCTTCCAGCACTAAGAATAATACTTGAAGTCAATTTTCTTTTTTTTCCTTTTTTCATATTTTTAAAAATTTTAAAACATTTTCATACATTACATTTTATTTGTATTCTTCCTTCCCAACTCCTTTCAGATGCTGCCTTCCAACTTCATGTTCTTCTCTCTCACAAAACAAAACACTAGCTCCATCCCCCTCCTAACACATAAAAAATATGGAGAGCAGTTTGTGTTGAACAGCAGGGTCTTTGTAGCCCATGCTGTCCTTGGACTCTCAGTGCCTCAGTCTCCTTAGTACCTTGTTTTGTGTGTAAGTAGTTGTTAAGGTTCCTAATGGATACATGTGCTGGGTGTGTATGAACATGTATACATGAATGTGTGAGCGCACCATGCCTGTCTGTGCTCTATGTGCTACCATTCAGTTCTGGAGCTTCGGGCAAGAGGCTGGAGGTTGAAAAACACAAACACACACAGACCTCTAGTCACTGGTAAGAAGCCCCTTATTCAATAGCACCACGGAAGCTTATATACCCAACAGTCAAGTGGGCCAACAGGTGAAAACCTTATCCTCTAATCCTCAAGGCAAGGCAACACGTGCTAGTGAAGCAGAGCTGGTAAACAACTTTGACACAGCCTTCAGTAACTCAAATCAGAAGAAAAGTAAAGATCTCTAGCAGGGAAGAGTTTAATTTGTGATGTGGCCATGTTAGAGGAAGACCTTGTTTTACAGAACCATCTTTATTATATTTTTAGATGGTTTGGATTTCTACTATTCTTCAAAACAACATGCTCAGAAGATGGTGGAGTTTCTTCAGGGTGTGGTTCCCTGCAGGTACGTTGTGAACCTAAATGTTTAAGTCCCTGGATCAGGGAATAGGACATATATAGGTCACATCTTTTCCTCAGGCTTAGATAACTACTTTGTTAAAATTAAAATTTTGCACGACTATTTAAACAGTCATGAAACATTGAGTTACCCATTTTATATTAGCCAAAGAGTGCTGAAGAATCTTTTGGTAGCTAAACCTAACTTCATAATAATGAGCACTGTAAGGCTGGGCTATAGAAGATGGAGAGAAGAGCTAGGACTTCAAGATGAGGGAAATTTTCACAGGCTGAGTTTATATTGAAAAATGAGATTAGCAGGAACATTAGTGTGGATTAGAGTGTAGTCATTCTGATGGAAGTTTGAGATGTTGTGGATAAAATTAGGCTTTGCCTTGTGTTCTAGTTTCATGTCTATTGCTGTGATAAATCCCCCTGACAGAAAGCAGCTTACGAGAGAGGGTTTATTAAGCTTCCAGTTGTTACAGTTCATATCATGGATAAATCAAATCAGTGAGTCATATCTCATCTAAGAGCAGAGAAATAGATGTGGACATGCCTGCCCACTTGCTTGATATTTCTTCTCAGCTAGATTTCTCTGTGCTCAAACAGTTCAGGGCCCTCTGCCTTGGACAGTGGTTCTCAATATTCCCAGTGCTGTGACTCTTTACTATAGTCCCTTATGCTTTGGTGACCCCAACTGTAAAGTTACTTCACTGTTATTCTTAACTGTAATTTTGCTATTGTTATGAATTATAATGTAAATATCTGGTATGCACAACCCACAGACTGAGACCTGCTGGCCTAGGGAATGTGCTACTGTGGGGCCAGGTCTTCCCATACCAGTTTACTCAATAAAGACAGCTCCCCACAGGCATGTTCATAGACCAGCCCGTCCTTCTCTGTACTTGATTCTAGGTTATGTCAGGTTGACGGTTAAAGCCAACCACACCATTAGGAAGCCGTGTGAAGACATTGGACTTTGATTTGATGAAAATTGATGTCCCTTTCTTTATACAAGGAAGGATCTGTCCCTTTCTATTAATAGTATTTTTTTTCTTAATAGATACAAAGCATCACAAAGATTGATCTCCCAAGATATCCATAGTAACACATACAATTACAAGAGCACTTTTTCTGTTGAAATTGTTCCAATATGCAAGGTACCTCTTTTTATGTAATTAATTCATGTCTGTAAGAGAATTGTAATTAATTGGTTATATATAATTTATTGCCTCTGGTTTCCTACTGGCTAAAAATTAAGAATAGCTTCCTTCAATGATTTTTGACATGCTCAGCTTTGTTTAAAAAAAATCCAAAATCTGTGTTTATAACTATGGGTTGGGATGCTCTTCATTTTGGTGTGTTATGATGGAAAGATTGGACTGGAGGATGGTTCATCCTTTCTAAAGTGCTTGCCGTGCAGACTCGATGGCTTGAGTTGGATCCCTGGAGCCCGGATAAAGAGAACCAGTTCCACAGAGCTGTCCTCTGGTGTTAACATGTATACTTGAATATGTGTGCGTGCACACATATACATACACACAAATTGATTGTAAAATTTTATAATCCAGTTTTATTAAAAGTTGGAATCTTGGGCTGGACGGTGGTGGCGCACGCCTTTAATCCCAGCTCTTGGGAGGCAGAGGCAGGCGGATCTTTGTGAGTTCGAGGCCAGCCTGGTCTACAAGAGCTAGTTCCAGGACAGGCTCCAAAACTACACAGAGAAATACTGTTTCAAAAAAATAAAAAGGGAATCTCAGTGGACATACAATAATTTCATCTATAAGAAATGGTAGTTAAAAAGATCAGTGAGCCACTTTGGACTATGTGTGGGTAAGATTTTTGTATATACACATTAGTGTTTGTATATATAGATGTATACATGTGGAGGCCAGAAGTCAGTTTTAGGTGTCTCCATAAATTGCTGTCCATTTTATTTCTTGAGATAGTTTCTCAGTGTACCTGGAGCCAACTAATTAGTCTGGATTAGCTGGCTAATGAGCCCCTGGAATCTGTGTGTCTCTACTTCGCCACTTCCAGGCTTACAACTTTTTTTTACCTTAGTGCTGAGAATCTGTATTCGACTTCTGCTGTCTTTCTAGCCTGGCCAACAGGATTTTGACTACAATATTAATGGAAATGAAATCATAGAATCGTCTTTACTGTAAACATTTCAATAAAACATTTAAAACATACATTATCATTTCATTTAAATGTACTAAGATAAAGCACTTTTAAAAAAATAAATGAGTAGGGCTGGAGAGATGGCTCAGAAGTTAAGAGCACTGCCTGCTCTTCCAAAGGTCCTGAGTTCAATCCCGGCAACCACATGGTGACTCACAACCATCTATAATGAGGTCTGGTGCCCTCTTCTGGCCTGCAGGCATACATACAAACAGAATATTGTATCCATAATAAATAAATATTTAAAAAAATAAATGAGTAAAATCCAACAAATAGCTTGGTGTGGTGGCACTTGCCTTTAATCTCTGTATTTGGGAGGCAGAGGCAAGCAGATCTCTATGAATTTAAGGTGGCTAGTCTACATAGTGACAAATGGGCTCAACTTAAGAATATACAGAGTGTTTCCATTTCTCTAATGTGTAACTTTTATCTGCAGGTCCTTTATTGGCCCAAGATGAAAAATAATGTTGTGGAGCCAGGCGTGGTAGTGTCCTCTAGGCAGAATCAGACTTGATAATTCTTGACTGGCCCATCCACAAATTCAGACAGACAGTTTTGTCAGGTTTACTAATGAGTGTTTCTCAAAGGCAGCTGAGAATTGCCTTGTTTTAAATGTTACTTTTTTTTTTTTTTTTTTTTTTTTTTGTCTAGGATAATGTTGTCTGCCTATCACCAAAACTGGCGCAGAGTCTTGGAAATATGAGCCAGATATGTATTTGTATTCGAGTAACTAGTGCCATCCATCTCATAGACCCGAACACCCTACAAGGTAAGCTTTGGAACAGCTTTGTCCTCTGTGGTAACAGTAACAGTAATCACTCACGGCCTTTATATTGATCATTCCCCCATACTCTTTTTTTTTTTTGAGACAAGGTCTCATGTAGCCTAGACTGTCCTTAAACTCTACATGTATTCAAAGATGGCCTTCAGTGCCTGAGCCTCTTCCCTCCACATCCCCAGGATCACAGAGGTGTGCCCTGAAACCAGGTTACGTGCTAAGCATCTGCTAAGTGAGCTGCATCCCCAGTCCCAAATGTTACTCTTGATAATATTATTTTGGAAGACTAATAGTTAAGTTTAGTACTTTTAAATACTGGAATTAGCTGGGTGGTGGTGGCGCACACTTTTAATCCCAGCACTTGGGGGGCAGAGGCAAGTTGATCTCTGTGAGTTCGAGTCCAGCCTGGTCTACAGAGTGAGTGCCAGGACAGGCTCCAAAGCTACATAGAGAAACCCTGTCTTACAAAAACAAAACAAAACAATACAGGCATTATAGAGCTTTTTGTTACTCTCTTTCTGTTTTAAAGAAACTTTACTGTGAACTTGTAGATAGTTCAGTTTTACACATTTTCTGAAAATTTTCTGACTCGTATAATTTTGGTGACTAAGTCTTTTTGCCACATGTCTGTTTGCTCGCACATTTGTGCCTGTTAGGCAGAGATTCTGCTGCTAAACTATATGTCTAGCCTGCAAGTTTTAGTTTTTGAACAAGTATTTTAAATTTTGGGATATTTGAGCTGTGATCCAGTGAGGTACCTAGTTTAAGTAGGAATTTTAACTTTTTACCATTATTATGGGTCATTTTTAGTATATCTTTATAGAAATAATTTTTTTTAAGAAAGGAAGACTGCATAGTAATAGTCTTGATATTTGTCTCAATCTTTTTCTTTAGTTTCTTATAAGCTTTCTGTATTTTGGTACTTTTCAGGAACTCATTGATTGTATTATCTGCTAAGGTCTGTTTGCAGTAATAGGGCAGGGTGGGCATTCTTCCCTGTCACATAAAAGTAGGCTTTATGGCTTTTAACTTGAGCAGCTATGATGACCAGTAGTTTTCTATAATGAGACGTCACCATAAAACTGATTGAATTTGTTGTGTGGTATTCTGCTTACATAATTATGATGTAAATATCTTTTTTTTTTGAAAATTTTTTTCCATTCAAAAATTTACACTTCCTCCCCTCCTTCCATTCCCCTTCCGCTCCCCCACTCAACCTCCTCCCTCCCTCTCCCTGCTTAAGAGTGCAGGGAACCCTGCCCTGTGGGAAGTCCAAGGCCCTCCCCCTACATCCAGGCCTAGGAAGCTGTGCATCTAAATAGACTAGGGTCCCAAAAAGCCAGAACATGCAGTGGAAACAAGTCCCAGTGCCTTTATCAATGGCTTCTCAGTCAGCCCCCCTTGTCAGCCACATTCAGAGAGTCTAGTTTATCTTATGTTCGTTCAATCCCGGTCCAGCTGGCTTTGGTGAGCTCCCCTTAGAACAGGCACACAATATAAATAACTTTTGACAGGCACACAATATAAATGACTTTTGACACCTGATACTTGGCTTGTGCCGTGGGAGGTTTGGAGCTCATATATGGAAATGAGCAATGACTTAGAGTGGTTTGACTTCTGTTCCTGTTGGCCTGATTCTTCCTGTTGTTATAAACATCCTTCTGGTTAACACGTTTGATGACTTAGACATTTGTCAGTCATCTTGTTTTTATGCTTGTTCTTAGTTGCTGATATTGATGGAAACACGTTCTGGAGCCACCCTTTCAATAGTTTATGCCACCCTAAACAACTCGAAGAGTTTATTGTGATGGAATGCAGCATAGTCCGAGATCTGAAACGAAGTGCCGGGGCTGGAGTCCTATCAAAAAAAGTAAGCAGCATCTGCCCATTCTTACTCTTAAAAGTTTTTGGTTTTCGATTGTTAGTGATTATAAAATGTGGAGTCCAGATAAAGAAATACACCGTGAGGTTAGCTGTGAGGGCCAGAGGCATCACTCAGCAGGTAAAAGTGAAGTCTTGCGACCCGAGTCGGGTCCCTGAAACCCACTCTACAAAGTTTTCCTCTGGTCTCCAGGTGCTGTGGCATATGCCAGCACCCTGTCTTAGACACACAGACACACAAATAAGAAATACAATTCTTTTAAAACAGAGTTGTCATCACTGGGTCTGGTAGAGCATCCCTTTAATCCCAGCACTCAGAAGGCGGAAGAATTTGGATCTCTGAGTTTGAGCCAGCCTTGTTTGTATGTCAGTTACCAGGGCTGCATACTGAGACACATGCTGACTTACTGTCTCACAAAAAATGAAATTGAATGGATCATTGTGGTGAAGGTTGCTGAAGTATAGTCTAAGTGAATTTTCTTCTTTTTGTATTGGGAAAAAGGCTTTTTTTCTATTTTTATTTTAAAAAATTCATTGCTCATATTTATTTTGGTGAGAGAGAACCAAATGGACAATTAAATTTCTGAATCGTTACTGAATATGAAATCATTCATACTTTTTTATACAACGTAGAACTCCTTTGAGGCAATCAGTTTATCACTATGAGAACATTTGGTCCACATTCAGATTCCTTCCTTTGTCTCAGAAGTTTGCTCAGACTAGCATCTAGGTGGGAAGCACACATTAAACTATGTGAATATTGTAGTTCTTAAATCTTTTCTTCAGTGATAATGCTTTCCTGTCTTGTTATGATACCAACTTCTTAAACAGAAAGAGCACATACCTTGTAGAATATACTACCTTCTAGGTCTCTATTCCTGTTTGATTGTAGTGCCAATATAACTTGATTTTATTGTCTTTCTCTAAATTAGAAGAGCACCTGCGTTTTGACAAACATGTTTTTATGGGACTATTTCAGAGATGAGTGTACTTTTAGACTGTATTTGGGGAGGAGAGAGGCTGTTCATGTGTACATGTGTACCTGTAGAAGTCAGGACAACTTGAAGGAGCTGCATCTGAGCATCAGACTCACATCATTAGACTTGGTGGCGATCCTTGTTGTCCACTGAGCTCTCTCTCCAGCCCAGAGTGTGTGTGTGGGAGTGGGGGCTCACTGTTAGTGTGCTGGTGCCATTTGTAGGTTTTCTGAACTCTTGGTTAATTTGTTTGTTTTTAAGTCTTGGGTCTCACAGGCATTTGCTTGAACTGTTTTCTGGCTTTATGATCCTTTTACCCTTCCAGTTACTTCTGTGCTCACTCTGAGTTAACCAGTCTCTCTGAAGCCATTTCCTTTGAAAGAGCTGTATATGTATGTTGCATATTTGTTTTTTCAGGGTAATATTAATGTTGTATACAAGTTTTGCATTGTTTTTATGGTTTCCTTTGAAGACATTTTATATACAGGGTTTTAGAATTCTGGAAAGTAGAAGGCAGTTCTAAGTGCATATTGAATAAGAAAAAAGTCAATTTTATATTTAATTTTTTTCATGAAATGAGTCTTGAATTGTTCTGTTACTGACTCTTTTTTTCTTTTCTGCTAAGCACACCCTTGGGGAGGTCTGGATCCAGAAGACATCTGAAATGGACACAGATAAACAGTATTTTTGTCGGACTCACTTGGGACATCTTTTAAATCCTGGAGACCTGGTGCTGGGGTTTGTTTTATTTTGTCGTGTTTTAACTTGCCAGGTAGCATTGCAAGTTTTCTTCATAAGTCAATAAAATACTAAACTTGTTAATTTCAAAAAAAGATTTAAGAGGTCCTAAGAGCCTTCTAGCTTATTTTATTATTGATAACTATGAAACCATGTATTGGACAAAAGCCAATAGTAGTTCCATTTGGGCCATCATCTGAGTCAGTTATTCAAAGATTTTGGTAATTAAATACTGAATTTATATAGTTTCAATATTTATAGCTTTTTAATGGTGTAGTGGGTTGTTTAGGTGACTGTGAAAATGCTTCACTTTTTGGAAATAACCAGGGCTGAAGAGATGGCTCAGAGGTTGTGTGTACTGCTCTTACAGAGGACCCAGGTTCAATAATTCCTAGTCCTCCTATCAGGTAGGTCACAACTATTAGTAGCTCCAATTTTAAGGGAGCTGATGCTTCTGACTTCTAGGCACTTGCATGTATATAGTGTACGTAAATGCATGCAGGCACATACACATAATAAATAAATCAATAAAACAACAGCTCTTTATGTCAGACAGCACCCATAAAAGTAAGTAACTATGTCTGCATCTGAGCTCGTTAGTGTCCTCTAGACATGGGCTTTGTTCTAGCAGTTTGAGCTCCGTTTATAAGAGAATGAGAGGTTGTTGCTTGTTTTATAAACTTGCAGATTCAGTTGCATTAAGGCTGAAATTAAGGCTGCTGTGTCACTCCATCTTGTCCTTAACAAAGGGGACACAAGGGACAGTGACAGACTCAGTGTACAGTGTACCTGTCTGCAGAGAAGCATGTTCCCCACATAGCATATTTCAGAACTGTTATTTACTATTTAAAAATTTTAAGTGTATCTTTTTCTTGTATGAGTGTATGTGCCTGGTGCCTACAGGCTGGGAGAGGATGTTGGATCCCCAGGAATTGGAGTTAAAATGGTTGTAAGCTGCCATGTGGTGCTGAGAATTGAACCTAAGTCTTCTGAAAGAGCAGCCAGTGCTCTTAACCACTAACCACTGAGCCATCACTCCAGCCCAAAATTTCAAAACTTAAAATGAGGAGCATTTAAAAATCTTCTACTTAGATAGGTGTGTGTGTGTGTGTGTGTGTGTCCATATATAGAGATGATATATATATAAAACAGAATTGTACACAAGGATACTTATTAAACTCTTCACTGTTTACATTTCAGATTTGATTTGGCCAACTGTAACTTAAATGATGAGCATGTTAACAAAATGAAGTCAGATAGAGTTCCAGATGTGGTAAGGCTTTAGGGTTTTGTGTTTTTTTGTTTTGTTTTGTTTGTTCTTTTTCCTTCTTTCCTTTTTTTTTTTTTTTCCTGTGTTAAAGAGGATTGATAAGATTCTGAGGATTTATTCAGGGTACCCCTACCTCCAATAATCAGATTTTCATTTTCTTAGCAAAACACTTGATCCTGCCTGACCTGGTGGCACATGCTTATAATCTTAGGTGTACAGGAGGCTGATCTGAGAGGATCACAAGTTCAAGACCTGTCTGGGCTAGAGAGTGAGTCTGAGTGAATTTAAGACTGGATTGGGAAACTTAATGAGACCCTGTCTCAATAGAACAGAAATGAACCAGAGGACTGGGGACATTACTTGGTGACAAAGGGCTTGCCTATCATGCAGAATGCCCTAGCTTCAGTCTGCCAGTGCTGCTGATAGAGTGAAAGTGAGTTTGCACCTGGAAATGGAGACCTCTAAATTTTATTCAGGCTCACTCTTATGTTAGCCTCAGCTTTTTTTTTTTTTTTTTTTTTTGGTTTTTCGAGACAGGGTTTCTCTGTGGTTTTGGAGCCTGTCCTGGAACTAGCTCTGTAGACCAGGCTGGTCTCGAACTCACAGAGATCCGCCTGCATCTGCCTCCCGAGTGCTGGGATTAAAGGCGTGCGCCACCACCGCCCGGCTCTCAGCTTATTTTGTGTATTTTCTCAGCTTCACAGGACATTTAGAATTAAGTCCATTATTAACTATTAAATACAAATTAAAATTGAAAATAATCTTCATAGTGTCAACTCTTGGAGACAGACTTTTACTTTGGAAAAATGTAGAGATGTGTCGTGGTGAGTTTAAAGTTCATAAGCAGCAGTAGAGGATAGGACCCTGCTCCACTTGGTTAGTCTTTTCAGAATAAACATGAATTTCTTTAACTCTGAGCAAAAATGGAGTCCTGGTGATAGGAGGTTCCTATCTCATCTGGCTGTTCTTCAGTTGGTGACAGAAAAGAATTGGGTATGTGTTGTGGGAGCTCCTTCAGCCAATAGCTGCTGAGATACCAACCCACTGGGGCGTGGTCTCTCTCCCTTTAAAAAAGCGGCCACTTCCCTCTGCTCTCTGGTTTCCGGCTCCTCTTCCGGCAACTAGGCTCCCTTCCTGATTGAGCAGAGGGCTGTTGTCTGGGACGGTGATCTGTAAGTTTTTCCCCTTTAAAAAAATAGCTTCTCCATTGGTTATAATTCCAAACTGGTGTGGGATTGTATGGGTCAGAGTGGGTATTTATTGTTTAGATTTATTGTTTGATCTGATGTGTGTGAGTGTCTTGTTGGCATGTGTCAGTATCCACCATGTGTGAACAGTGCTGGTGGATGTCAGAGAGGGTGTCAGATCCCCTGGAACTGGAGTTACACATGGTTGTGAGTGAGTGCTGGGAACTGAATTCAGGTCTTCCTCAAGAGCAGCAAGTGCTCTTAACTACTCAGCCATCTCACCAGCTGCAGGATGGGCTCACGAGGAGATCACTAGTCATCTCAAAATTTTTCCGTTTTCTAAGATTTTCACTATATAATTATTAAATGTTATAAAATTCACATAAATTTTGTTAGTGCTTATTACTGTGAAAAAAATGAAGTATCTGTAATGTTTCAAAATGTGCTATATGAATGGTAACTGAAAAAATATAATAAAAACAATGCAAGTTTTTGGCATTAAAAATTTAGCATTTAGTCATTTGAAATTTTCACAGTTAGATAAATAATGCTCAAATGCATACTCATGAATACATAGTAAAAGTTTTAGACATCCTCTTGACACCTTTCTCCTGAAGTGTAACAACGGCCAACAATTGGACTCCCTGGCATCCCAAAGTTTTGAATGTTTCCCCTACTGTGTGTCTCTTTGATGTAACTGCAGATATTTCTGTTACAGGTGTTAATTAAGAAGAGCTATGACCGTACCAAACGCCAGCGCCGTAGAAACTGGAAGCTGAAAGAGCTTGCGAGGGACAGAGAAGACATGGACACAGATGATGAAAGGTACTGCTTTCCTTAAGCTTGGGAGCTGTTTCAAGGGAAACCCTTGGAAGGTAGGCTTACGTTGTAAAGAAGTTGCTGTTACCTAACAGATTTTTCCTTTTTTTTTCTTTTTTTCTTGATATTTATTGAGCTCTACATTTTTCTCTGCTCCCCTCCCTGCCTCTCCCTTACTCCCTTCCCTAAGTCCCCATGCTCCCAATTTACTTAGGACATATTGTCGTTTTCTACTTCCCATGTAGATTAGATCTATGTAAGTCTCTCTTAGGGTCCTCGTTGTCTAAGTTCTCTGAGATTGTGGTTTGTAGGCTGATTTTCCTTGCTTTATGTTTAAAAACCACCTATGAGTGAGTACATGTGATAATTGTCTTTCTGTGTCTGGGTTCCCTCACTCAAAATAATGTTTCTAGCTCCATTTTCCTGCAAAATTCAAGATGTTATTTTTTCTGCTGTGTAGTACTCCATTGTGTAAATATACCACATTTTCCTTATCCATTCTTCAGTTGAGGGACATTTTAGATTCCTCAGTTGAGAGTTCTCTGTTTAGGTCTGTACTTCATTTTTTTTTTTTTTATTGGATTATGTGTTCTTTTGGTATCCAATTTCTTGAGTTCTTTGTATAATTTGGAGATCAGGCCTCTGTCTGATGTAGGGTTACTGAAGATCTTTTCCCATTCTGTAGGCTGTCATTTTGTCTTGTTGACCATGTCCTTTGCTTTACAGAAGATTTTCAGTTTCAGGCCAATAGATCTTTGTACTCAAATTAACTTAGGAAGAGAAAGTTATGAATGGAATCTACTTAGGAGAATCCATAAAGGAATAAAATATTATACAACCTCAATAATCATTTTCTGAGTGATTATCTTTTATAATTGCAGTGTTAATAAAAATAATTTAGTTTAAAAAGTTCAAGTATAAGCCGGGCGGTGGTGGTGCACGCCTTTAATTCTTGATGATGATAAAAAACATTGAAAAAAAAAAGAAGAGTTTATATTACTGGGAATCAATAATTCATTAAATTCATGATGTGATTTAAAAATACATACATATGTAGCATGTTATACTGTTTAGTAGTACATACTTAACTGTTTCAGCTGTAGTCTTAGCCTGGTGATATGACTCAGCAGCTAAAGACTCAAGCCCCTAGAACCAACATAAAAACTGAAGAGCAGGAAAGATGACTGCTGTAGTTGAGAATGCTTCCTGCTCTGTCAGAAAACTCAAGTTCAGTGCCCAGCACCCACATGGGGTGGCCATGGCTCCATAGCATCCAGTGCTCTACGGGTACCCTCACACTTCTGGCATACACACAAATACATGCACACGCACGCATAAATAAAAATAAATCATTAAGTCACAAAACAGAACACCCCAAATTTAACTCTAGTCACTTGTCCCTGGGAATTGATTTGTGTGGTAGAATGGAGGTGAGAGGTATCTTTTCATTGTCTTGAATTTAACATCACTTTAATATTCAGCAGTTATATAATATTGTAAGGAAATTTGTTTCCCAGCCTACCTACTTAATTAGCAGCCATATTTCAATTTTGCAAATACTGTAATACTTGAGACAGTGCTCAAAGTTTCTTTTTCTTGCAGGCAATATCAAGATTTCCTTGAAGATCTTGAAGAAGATGAGGCAATTAGAAAAAATGTCAACATTTACAGAGGTTAGTGTTTTAGGTGTATTGAAGTCATGTTGTAGATAGTATCTGTGAGGATATTTTAAACTTACTTTTTATAAGTGACTTTTATTTGTCTTATAAACTGCTGTAGTCGGGCTTTTACCTACAGATAATTAAGGAACAGTAAAATTTCCTAAATATTGTTTGTTGTATACATAATGAAGCAATTGTTATCTGAGCCTGATTCCTTAAGTTGCTAGCTCTTGCATATTTAGTTTATTTAGTATTTGAAAGCCTGCTGTAGTTAAGAGCTGAGAGCCTTAGTTAGTGCTGATGATTGTAGGGATAGTGGTTTGTGCATGTCCATACTTGTACATGTGAAATATCACCTCCTTCCTTAGACTCCACCATCCCTGTGGAGAGTGACACGGACGATGAAGGAGCCCCTCGAATTAGTCTGGCTGAGATGATTGAAGACCTTCATATTTCCCAAGATGCCACTGGTGAAGAAGGTGCATCAATGATGTCATGATGAGCCATGGTATATGCTGTTTGTGTGTCTGTGACCTCAGAAGTCAGCAAAATGATCATCATTGCATAGTACATGCATTCCTTTGAATTTTGAGAGGAGAATTTGATCCTAAGTTGAATATATGACTATTTTGATTGTTCACTTACAGTATTGAAAGGTTTCATAGTTTGATGGTTAGAAAAAGCGCTGAGATGGAATGTAGTTGTTACTGATACTGAGGCATCTAATGCAGTTTTATCAGAGGAGCCGTAGTGGTTTTACTATTTTAGTGCTGGATTCAAAGATAAAGTTAGGATTCTTTGGATATTAACCAAATATTAGAATATAAGCCAACCTCTTACATTTGTTTTATGTTAATTGCTTTGGCCCACTTTAAATCACTTTCATATCCTTGGGGTAGGGAAATGAAAGTTCAGTTTATCACAGGACAACTGGGAAGTTAATCATTTTATTTCTACATAGAATTAGTATCCTTACCCCTTTTCTCCCTTCCTGGGTTTAAACTCAAGGCTTGTACTTGCAAAGTTGCTGTCCAGTCATTAAGCTATAACTTTAGCTTTATAAAAAAAACTTAACTGAGGGTTATTTTAATTTTTATTTCAGTAGACTAAAATGTATTTAAATGTGTGTAGGTTTGTATGGAGCACAGATCAGTTTTACAGGTTAAATAACAATTTGATTTGTATTCTACTTTGGACAGCAACTTAGGGTGATAGCTTGCTTTTATTATAAAAATGTCTGTCCCTTGTATCAATGATATAATTTTTAAATTCGGGGTTTCAAGTTGAGAATAAAGACTATTTTTTCTGTCCACTTCTGCCATTGAACATAATGCACCACCGTCAGCAAGAATGATTGTAGATGATGGAAGACTACTTCTTAGTCAAGTAGCTTGCTAAGGAAAATGTTGTATTAAACCAAGAGTAATGCCTTCCATATTCCGAAAGAAGAGTGTTGCTCGGGTTTAAGCATTTTGAAAATGAATTTTTATAACCTTGTTCCTACAAGATTTGGTAAATTCACCTCACTGAATGTTCTTTACTTAGTCTGTATGTACCATTAAGAGTGAACTGTTTTTTAAGACTGGACTCCCTGGTTTTTGAAGTTAGGAGTAAAGGCCCAAACATCCTCCAGTCCTTCATTTTTATATGTGTATTCATTTAAAAAGCATGTTCTGTCCTGGTGGTAGACTGATGGGGATGGCAGTTTGAGCATGACCATAGCAAGTTCTCACTTGTGTTACCACTGGTTGATTTATCAAAAATTTAAGGCAGTATTCATGCCCTTTTCTAAAGTGAAGTTGTTATATACTTAATGTGATTTTCCCACTTAAAAAATTTAGTTTCCCTCTAACCTTAGTCTTTCTTGAATAAAGGTATCCAAGAGCTTGCAGAGTCAAGTAGCTTGCTAAGTCTACCATTTCTGTGAGTCCCATGGTACTCTACTGTTCAGGTTGATAGTGGTTGGGAAGCTAATCTTCCCAACCAAGAAGTTGTTTATAGTCAGCTTTGTAAATTCTGTGATTATCATTGTATATAATGGAACACACATTTGAAAGCTGTTCCTTTCTTGTCAGAAGTCTGATGAGCAAGGAAGAAGATGAGGGAGAGTTGCTTCTGCAATTGAGATGTTCAGCAGAGTCAAGCTAATATCTTGCCAGAGTCTGGGGACTCCAGGGCGTGCTTCCTTAGTTGGTGTGAGTCAAGGTCTGTTGAAATAAGAGCGGTGGGGCTGCGTCCCCAACACCCCGGCCACTCGGCTAGCTTATGCCCGAAATAACAACACGCAAACTGTATTCATTTAAGAACTGCTTGGCCCATGAACTCTAACCCTTACAGGCTAATTCTCGCACCTGGACTAGCCCATTTCTAATAATGTATGTAAGCACCCCAAGGTGCGCTTACCGGGAAGAGTCTAGCCTCCGTCCATCATGGTGTCTCTGCTCCAGAGCAGAGCTGTCGAGTCTCCGGGAGCAGAGCAGAGTCTGACCTCACTTCCTCTTCCACCCAGAATTCTATTCTGTTTACGCCTCCCACCAATGCTTTAACCTATGAGGCCAGCCAAGCAGTTTCTTTAATTAGCCAATGAAATCAACAGATTGATATACGACACTCCCACATCAAAGGTCTTAATTTTAATCAATTTATTCATGTTGACTTCTATCCTTCGATTGCTTGGTATTCAGTTGTTGTTCTTGTTGCTTTTACCTAGCTTTCTAGTTCTGTTACTTCTAGCCCAAAGATATTTTTAAAAATAACATTTACCCATAATTTCAGACTTACAGAAAGGTACGAGAATAGTTTAGAGATTTCATGGTTAACCTTAACCCAGATTTGGCAAGTGAAACATTTATCTTGCTGGCTTTCTCTTTCCTTTCCTTCTCACTAGTTTTTAATTCCACCATTTCAGAGAATGGCTGGCCTTGGAGAGAGTGCTGGCTTAGCATGGTCAAACCCTGGGTTGAATGCCCAGCACCTCTACACCTCTCTACCACCACCCTCCGCCCCACCAAAAAAAGAGAAGGGTGATGCTTTTTTTAGCGTTCGGCATGCCCAGCCAGCACTCAGGTGCTATGTGTGACCCAGGATAGCTGTGTGGCCCAACATTGTGTCATGTGTTTAAAGGTTGGACACGCCTGTCAGAGATGATTTTTCACTCTAAAAGCAAGAAATTATTTAATAATAATTAGTGTGTCATTCATAAATTAATAAAATTCTAAACTTTTACCCAATCGGTAGAATGCTGAGGTCTTGCCATTTGTCTCAGTAAAGTCCTTTGCAGAAGTGTCCATGTAAGAGTCTGTGTTACATTAGCATCTCATGCCTCTCTGAGCTGGACCAGTCCTTAAGAGTATGTTTTATTTAAAGGGTACACGGCAGTTATTTGTAGAATAACTGCAGGTTATTTTTTTTCTTTTTCTTTTCCTGTGCCTAGATTTAGGTTATGTCATTTTGGGGGTTGCTCGAAAGGGATGTCAAACCTGGTGTGTTATCCTAGCATACATGTGCGGCCCGTGAGTCCAGATGCTCCCAAACCTGGTGCATTATCCTAGCATGCATGTGCTGCCCGTGAGTCCAGATGCTCCCAAACCTGGCATTGTTTTTTTGGCTTCCTGTTCTGAGAATGAGCTCTCATTCCATGTATTTCTTTATTCCTTTTTTAAAAATACATATGTCTTTGTAGACTATATTTTTTTTCTCCTCTTTGAATCTAGTATGATTTAATTGTGTACAATCTACCACCGAGCTATAACCACAGGTTCCCATTACTCCCAACTTACAGTTCTTTATTAAGGTAAAAATTTTACTTGTTCTTTAAAAGTTCATTTTCTACATGTAGACAGAATCACTCTTTGATGTGTAGTTCTGAAGTTTTATATATGTAGTGTTACGAGCTGGGGGACTTCAGCTCCAGGTTCTTTTCGAGTAGTATCTATGAGGACTCTGTGCCCTTCTCCCCAGAGAGCGATGAGTGACCAGAGCAAGCAAGAGAATTGATTTTATGATGATTCTTTACTAGCAACTTCAATATCCAATACATCAATGGGGGTTACAATCTCAGTAGGCATGGGGGATTGATAATGGGCAACACACAGGCAATTCAATATCACAATTATCAATCCTACTAAACCTAATACATAAAACCAATTCATAACCTTAATCTAACTTATCACTTATTCATAAAACACTTCTTAACCTTAATACAACTTAGCCATTACTTATCTATAACCTTAATACAACTTATCCATTAATTATCTATAACCTTAATACAACTTATCCATTAATTATCTATAAAACACCCCTTAACCTTAGCTTATCCATTATTTCCTAATCTGATCAATTATCCATAAAATATCTCTTAACATTTCACACATTAACATATGTATTAACCCATCTATGCACTTCTCTTAACATCTCATACACACATGAAATAGCATCATACGACCTGATATTCCCTGGCTTAAAAAGGGCTTTTTGAATTTCTTCAGGCTGGGCTCTTGTCCGCACTGGGGGCTGGGTAGCGAAGATCGACTCTTGACCCCGTAGTCTGCACTTGGGAGATAAGGTCCTGATGTTCCAGGCTGGTATCTGGTAGTGCCTTGGACTCTGCTTTCGGGTGACCGAGTCCCGGGAGACAAGGCTTTTAGTTCTCTACTCTTGAAGATGAAGCTTTGCTCTCGGGATGGCAAAGCGTTCTGTCTGCTCAAAAGACGAAGCTTTGCTTTCGGGATGGCAAAGCATTCTGAAAGGCAGAGTATCTAGTCTGTTCTCGGGAGACAGACCTTCAATGTCCACTCTCATGGAATGAGGATTTGCTTTCGGGATGCAAGGTGTTAAATGTCTGTTTTCGGGAGACAAAGCTCTGTGCTCGGGAGACAGAGCATTAAATGTTTAGGCAAGGCATTCAATATTGCTGCTTTTCGGGAAGCAGGCTAGGAGGATCTCTCTTTCCACGGAGGCCTGGTGCCAGAGCCATTGTGAGAAGTGAGATAACCACCCTGCTTCAGCCACCTCTTTTATGCCAGTTCAAAATTGCCCCTCGTTTGATCCTTCTGATAACCAGGTGTCCTAGGTTATCAGTATCGACTGGCCACAGAAGGGTGGGGGAACCTCTTGTGTGGCAAGATTATTTCGTTACCACGGTTTCTGGGTGCAGCCCCCCACATCTGGCAGGGCCAAATGGGTGTGGCAGCCTTCAAACGGGCAAATGCTCTCCCAATATTTCACCTTAGTAATTTTCCATACCCCACACAAGAAGAAATGCTTTTACATTACACCAAGTTACATTCATTCTTATTCTATAAATTTCCTGCTCTAGCTACACTACAGATTCCCCTTTATTTATTCATTCAGAGGAATCTGCTTCCATGCTCATTACATGTAGATTATGTAATCACAATCAAAGTACATACAAAGTCAGCATACACACACACACACGCATACTCATGCACGCATGCGCTAAAAGTCCCCTCACTCTGTTTCTAAACCGTACCTGTATTCCCTCGATAATATCTAATCTGAACTTAGTTTGTTTCTCTTAAGGTAAATGAGTGACATCACACAGTGTGTGTGTCTGTGTGTATATATTCATTTTAGTTTCTCAAGTTATTTATGTCCAGAATTTCCTTTTATTTCTGCTATTGCACTGTATGGATGTATATTTATCTATTCCTTTGTCGAGGCACATTTGGTTTTAGCTTTAGATTCTTAAATGAACTGCTATGAACATTTCAGGGTTTTTTTTTTGGTGGTTGTTGTTTATTTTTTCATTTTGCCTTAATAAAGAACTAGGAGTTGGGAGTAAGGGGAATTTGGTTCAGTGGTAGAATACTTGGTTAGCATGTGTGAGGACCTGGCTTTGATTCCAAGCACTAGGAAAAAAACAAAAACAATAGCAAGTAAGAATGGGATTGTTACAGTGTATAGTGAATGTATGTTTATCAAAGTCTGCCAAGCTTTACCAAAGTGGCTGCGCCATTGAGATCTCAGACCAGCAGTGGATGAGAACTTCATTACCCTGATACTTGTCAGTGTTTTTAACATGGCAGATGATTGGTGGTATCTTTTGTGACTTTTTTTTTTTTTTTGAGTGTATATCTGATCCAGGCCTGTGTACTTTAGGCAAGTAGTCCAGCATTGAGCTGTATCTCCAGCCCTCTTTTTGTGATTTTTATAGGCATTTTCATAATATCTTTTCATGTGCTAGTTAATTTGTGTGTCTTCCTGGATTAAATGGCTATTTCAAATCTTTGCAGCCTTTCTTCTTTCTTTTTTTGAGATAGAACATTTCTCCCTTGCCTTTCCTCTCCAAACCTTCTCATATACTCTCCCTACTCTCCTTCAAATACATAACTTTGTTTTCTGTTAATTGTTACTGTATTATTCCTAAGTACAGCCGGCTCTGTCCATATAATGTTACCTGTATGTATGTTTTCAGGGTGGCTTGGTGTGTTTTCCCTGGGGAATACCATGTCTCCGGCTCTCAGTTTTACTCAGTTGCCTGTAGTTCCTTTTGTCTTTTTTTTTAAAAACTGTTTTCTTATCGTAGTGAAAAGCACTATGAAGAATATTATAGACTGGGCTACATCAACTCTATAACCTTGATGCTTCTGGAGGCTAGAGAGTCAAATTTAGGGTTCCATTATGGTCAGGCTCTGGGGAAGTCCTTTTAGTTTTGCAAAAACCCTGAGTCCTTACAGGTACAGAGCAACCCTCTCTGTGTCACCTCCTTGGAGTACTATCCCCTTGGTAAGGGTGCTACTCTCACTGTCTATTTACTTCCCTAAGGCCTCATGTAATCATTAACATTAGGATTAGATTTTATCATGTAAATTTGGGGAACATATATTCAGCCCATAGCAGGTTTGTTGCTCTTATTTCTGAGCAGTTAATTTTTAAAGTTAATACTGAGATACCAGAGCCCACCAGCTGATGTCTCCTCAAGTTAGATTCTGTCTTTGACATCTTTTGGTCTTCTGAAACTAAGTGTCTGAAGCTACGATAATGCAGTATGTTTCCAAACAATGGAAATGTTTTCCTACCTTTTGTTTTTAAGTGATGTTTTAAGTGATTAGGCAGTAGTTGTAGGGTTAGTTCAAATGTCCACCAGGTGGCACTAATGCCTGACTAATACTGAAAGGCCTGAGCCCAGTCTTCAGGAAACAGCAGCTGAGGCTCTGGAGGTGGGGTGGAGACTTTGCTGTGGTAGCAGCACTCACTGTGTCTCTCTGAGGTGGGGATCAGGACATAATCAGTTTGCTAGGCTGAGGTTTGAACTGTGAGGCGTTTTAGATTTTTTTTTTCTTAGTGACTTATGGGTTATGATTTAAAGCTAGGCTTGGAAGAATAAATTTAATGTGTAGGTTTTCCCATTTAACTTTGTGTTTCAATGCATATAAATCCTACAGGTTCATAGAAAAATTAGAAATGTACATTTTATTGCTTAATTTCATATGTGGAATTGATGATGATCAGTATTGCTTACCTTATTTACTAGACTGACCTATAAGGCCTCTTTCATCATGGGAAAGGATCATAAAGACGGGTCTTGAAAAGATAAGTTCATTATGAAAAATGTTTAAGGATCATAACCTTCAACCTCCTGGATGCCAAATAATAGTCAAAATGCCTTGGAGCCTGGCTGTCTGTGTGATTGCCCTAGAAAGGTTTCCCACCAACTCCCACACCCTCCTAACTAGTTCGTCGTCTTTATTACCGGTGCACTGAGACAGGCACTTATGGGAAATAAATCTCCAAATAAATCTGCTGTTTGCCTGCAGTTGGTACTCTGTATAATTTCATTGTTGACTACACTTTCAAAAATTATCCCCACATTTTCCAAGTGTGCTCAGTGAAGCAGTAGTCCTCCAAGAAGCTGCTTTGAATTGGGCCTAAAGAAAGAAAAGGTAGTTTTGTCTTTGCCTCTGTTCAGCTTACTTTATCATATTAAAGGCATTCTGAAGCCCTAAGCAGTAGCTCCCAAAAGACTAGCACTGTTCCCTGAGGAACATTTTTATGGGAGCTGTCACAGTGTTTGGCCTGGAAACCACAGGTAGATGCTGGGTGGCATATAATCCCCATAAGAGGCTCATAAAAGCAACTGTTGTTCCCTGCCCCCCCCCCCATTTTAGCTCATCTTGACGATCTTGTGGCAGTATATAATTAAGATTGCTTTCTAAGTCTGTTTACGTTTAAGTACGGAGTAATTGAGATTTTATATAGACACTGAGTATCTTAGGAATGCAATGATTATGTAAATCAAGTAAAGACTTTTATTTTGCTTGGATCTTTACCCAAAATTGCTCACCGCTGTCAGCACTGCTGCTGGCATTTGAGTGACTGATAGAGCATGGCCGTGCCGCTTAGCTTACATGCGTAGCTTTCTCCTTCACAGTGATAATGCAGATGAAATGATCTAACTAAGCTGTCGTTGCTTCTTTTGGAAGTTATGCTGATATAGAGTTTATTTGATTTTTTTTCAGGGTAGTAATTAAGGTGTGAGGAACAGCAGCTTACTGCAAGGATGCTTCGGTACATCTGGGAGAGAATTCTCCCCTAGCTAAATTTGTTTCCTAATAGAACATTTTTATTTATTTATTTATTTAATTTTTATATTTTTGGATTTTCGAGACAGGGTTTCTCCGTAGCTTTTTGGTGCCTGTCCCGGAACTAGCTCTTGTAGACCAGGCTGGCCTCGAACTCACAGAGATCCGCCTGCCTCTGCCTCCCGAGTGCTGGGTTAAAGGCGTGCGCCACCACCACCCGGCCTAATAGAACATTTTTATTTGATGAAAGCTGCCAAGTTTTGTTAAGCTATTTGCTGGGTTTTCATTTGTCTTTGAGTATAGTATAAGTTCATTACCCATCAACATGGGGGCCTACCCGTATTTTCAAAGTTGGACTAAAGAATAGTCTCTACTATTCTTTCCTATTGTAGATGGACTAGTGGAGAGTAGGTGGGATTTGAACAAAGCAGAGCTCCAGCTGAAGCACCTGGTGGGGAAGGGTGGCACATGCTCTGTCTCGACGTACAGTGTGAGTGCTTAGAGTAGCTGGGGACTGGTGGACACTCGCTGCTGATGTCCCCATAACGTCTTCCTGGTCATACATAGATTCTCATAAGGACTTTTCTCAGTCTGTTAATTTGTAGATTGCTTAGATTCTCTGCAGGTCAGAGAATCAATCCCCTGGTTTATGTCTACCACCAGTGTGTGCAGACCAGCCTGAGTATCCATAGAACCTTTGTTCTCTGGTCACCTACAGAACTGGGAAATACTGCAGGAGACTCTTGTCACTCAAGAGCCTCAGGGAATTCTGGGCCCTCCCTGATGTTCCAGACTCCTCAGGATTCTAAATCTCAAAGCTAGACTAGGTCCCCAGCGTTCACTCAACAGTGTGGGAATCCCTGGAAGAGCCCCGAGAATAAGGAGGTAAATTTCGGCTGAGCTATGTGTCATTTGCAGACCCTGGACTACTTGCTTCCGTTGGCTTCTGCTGGGGCTTTTCTCTGGTGGATTTTGGACCTTTTGTGATAGAAGATTGCAGTGAGCAATTGTATCATACTGAGCTGAATCTAGGCTCTTTCGCTGAATCTAGGGCTGGCCCCCTCAGTCCTGGTAATGAGGTCAGTTTTTGAAACACTGCCTGTTTAAAGTCCCAGATCAACTGTCAGGTTTTTTTCTATAGGTTCTCAATAGAATAAATTACTCTGTTGTCTGTGTGTCATAGCTTTTATACATATTGCTGATCAAATAACCCACAAGCATCTAAATGTGTCTGCCTATGTGCTCAAACAATATGTATGCTTATCAAGAATAAAAGCTGCTTTTCTTCTCTCTCTCTCTCTCTCTCTCTCTCTCTCTCTCTCTCTCTCTCTCTCTGTGGTATGTGTGTAGAGGACAGAAGTTAGCTTTCAGGTACCATCTTGTTTTTTGAGACAGGGTCTCATTGACCTGGAGCTTGCCAAATAGGCTAAATTGGCCGGCCAGCAAGCCCCAAGGGTCTGTCCGTCTAGCACTGGGATTACAAGTAAGTATCACCATGCCTGACTTTTTAAATTTTTGGTTCTGTGGATGGAACGCAGGTACTTGTGCTTGAGTGGCAAGCACTTTATGGACTGAACTCTCTCCTCAGTCCCCGTGTATCCTGTCCTCCTGTCCCCATGTTTGCAAGCTTTCCATTCTGAGTAGAATAATGAGCTTATTCATTTAACTTCCCTCAGAGGTCACTTTTTCAACAAGCATTTCAAGGGCCACCTGTCAAGACATTAGTATGCCCGAAGTATGAAGCATGAATCAGACACACGTTTCTTACCTTCAGGGAGCTTACAGCCCTCTCCACTTTTCTATTCTCAGTTCATTTCGCTGTCCCTGATCAAACAAAATGTCACCTCAGGTGATAGTGAGCTGAGCTGGAACCTTCATCCATGCTTGTCTGCCAGGTGCTGTTGCTGGGCTCCAGCAGAGAGCTCCAGTGCCTGCTGCTGACACCCAACACGACCATAGTGCGTCTAGCTCTCTCTCCTGATGGCTTGGAACTGTGATGAGCCCAGCAGTGGCCTTGCGTACCTACCTAATGTCAGCGTGGGTACCGGGGTACTGGCTGGATCTGGAGTAAGTGCCCAGCATGGGTAGACCAAGGGTGAAGGGGGATCATAATAAAGCTATGTTCATTTCTAATCCAGTGGGGATGAGAGGCAGTTTCCAAAGCTCAGACAGGGATAGAGTTTATAGTTGTAGGGGTGGAGCAGAAGCTTGGATAGATGAGGGAGAGGAACAGAGAGAAGGGAGGCAGACACACATGAGGGATGGTGGGATCTAGACTGAGATGGGGTTTTACTATGGAGCCACACTGGCCTCTAACTGGTAATCCTCCTGCCTCAGATTCCTGTGTGCTGGAATTGTATGCTGTGCCGTCATGGCCATCTTAGAACTCTTTGTGAGTTGTTCAGCTTGCTAATTAAAGACACAATGGTGTCTGTTTCTGTGGATACTGGCCCCCCACCCCAAACAAACAAACAATAGAACCAAAACCCTTAGCCTAGCTATGAGAGATTGGCGCACGCCTTTAATCCCAGCACTCGGGAGGCAGAGGCAGGCGGATCTCTGTGAGTTCGAGACCAGCCTGGTCTACAAGAGCTAGTTCCAGGACAGGCTCCAACACCACAGCGAAACCCTGTCTCGAAAAACAAAACAAAACAAAACAAAAAAAAGAGCAGAGGAGGGTGAACTTGAATTTAAATAGGAAGTAGAAAACTAGAATGGCGGCTTCTGTGTTGAAGGGTTGAGTCAGTGGGAGCTAAAAGGGTGTGAAGGCCTTGGGGGCTTTGCAGGAGCAGAGTTCAAAAATCCCTGCTGATTCTCAGCCAGCGACGCATTGTACACAAATACACAAAACCCGCAGTGACCCCTGGGTTCTGGCCACAGTTCACACAGAGGTGACAGTGACACAGTGCTGGACTGTTTAGTTGAGTACAGCTTCATAATTACATTTTCTCCTCTGAACATCTTGAAAATCGTATTTATTGTATTTCTTGGGGAAATATTCCAGGCTTGAATACTTGCACATGGGAAAGTGCACAGCTCCTCAGACCCTGCTCTTTGGCGAGGGAGGGGTAGGCACAAATGGCTGCCCCATCCGGGAGGTGCACCTTTCATCCCACGGGTCGGCCTTGGGACTGACTGGGTGAGTTTCTCAGCTCCACCTGCAGTCTGACTCACTCTGCTGCCTTTGATGCCCCTTCTGGAACCTGTTTTCTGTCCTGCTAGATTGCCTCTCCCTGGCTGAAAAGACGACCTCTCAGCAGTGGCCTGTGTGGGCATGTACCTCTCGTTAATAAACAGGAGCCCTACCTCTCCGGAACACGCACCTTTCTGAGTGCCTGCATCTCTCACTAGGGAGCCTGGCATTCTGAGTGTCTCCAAGGTGCATAGTACATACGGTGCCAGGGACCTGCTGCCCTGCCCTTGTCTGGTGTCGTGACAGCTGCAAACCAAATCTGTGATCTACTCAGACCAGCTGCTTAGAGAATTGGCAGCTCTTCATGAACACACACAATCTTCTTGCTTTTCTGTATTTATTTAAAAACCAAAATGATACATTTAAACCTACCATGGTGGCATATGCCTTTAACTCCAGCACTCAGGAATTTCAGACAGGTGGATCTCTGAGTTGGAGGCCAGCCTGGTCTATATAGTGAGTTCCAGGAAGCCAGAGACACACACAAGCACAAACACAGATGAAAACTTAAATTTAAGAACATTAATTGGCATAATTGACGGCAGTGTTTTGATTCTGATAATGACTCCTCTGCAGTCTGAATAATTCTTCTAGCCACGCCCTTGCAGGAAGTGACGGTTAATTACTGATTTTCAGCTCGCCGGAAGACAGTAAAATGGTATCTATCGCCAGAAATCGACGTAATTTCTTTTGTCACCACCACACTCTCTTGAGTCTCCCAAAGTTTCTTGGAGTTGTTTCTAAAGGTTGAAAAATTGGCTGGATCATCTTTTGAGTGACTGGTTCCTGTAAGTATGTGAAGGGACCCTGTAATCAGCTCCAGAGTAGCGAGTTTGTTGATTGACTACCTAATTCACTCACTCGTCCGTGATGCTTCCACTCTGTCCTGCTGTTTTAGCTGTGAGAAATAGAGGAGTAGATAAGACAGAAATATCAGTCGTAATGGAGGAAGGCAGACAATGTGGGGTAGTCACCAGAGAAGGCCACTCGGACGTGGGTGTAAGCCCATAAAAAGTCTTTTATTTGCTAGGCTACTTCTAC